TTGCGGCATGTCCGATGCCGTGGGCTCCATACCGGTGAGCAGAAAAACAAGCGGAAGAGGGGAAGAACGCGCGGCACAAAATTAGTTTATAATCTAAATGGAAGCATCGTGAGGACGACGGTTGGTTTGTCGAGGTAGCAGCCCTCAACTGAAGCTGCGTCATGCTAGACAGCGTGTGCAGTCCATGGCCATGGCTCGGCGCTGGATGTTCAGACAGGCTCTGGCGTCCTGGCAGGTATCTGCAATGGGCTTAAATTTCCAGTGAAATGACCCTTACCACAGTAGGCACATTTTGCTATAAAATAGCTATATAATTGCTATATAATCATGCTTAAGGTATTTTTTTCTGAGACACAGCTAACTTTTCCTTAAATATAGAATGAGACTTTATACTCTTACATAGTCTCATTTTACCTTCAAACATTTCATAAAAGTGTTCTTGATTCTTTAAAACCTGAGATGCTGACACATAAGAGAAAAAAACTTTCGTAGGAAAAGAAAAGATGCTTCTGTTAAATCACTGCTTCTGATTATACTTGAAAACGTAGTGCTGTCTGTGAAAAAGAAACAAGCAGTCTCTGTGCACATCTTGCATCTCAGAACTCAGAAACATTTGGAGACTTGGAGGGATAAAATGGTTCAGCAATTTAATTGAAATAGGTGTTATGAGTTTAAAGAAAAGGCTTTTGAAAATAGATGTCTTTGTTGCAAACATTTAGCAGTTGTTTTCTTAAAAAAGAAAAGAAAGAAAGAGAGAAAGAGAAAAGGAAAATCTGATGTGGTTAATTCCTTTGTTCTTCCATTGCACAGAATGACCAAATTGTTCAGAAATATAATAAATTATCAGGTCCATTTTTTTAGCTTTCTAATGTGATAAAGGTTGCTGCATGAAACGTTTTTATTTTTGAGTGAGAACTTAAAGCTCAGTGTTTTGGAACATCAGCCCTTCCTGAATCTGAAATGTTACCATTTTACCGGAAATATCAGAGAAGAACAAGAGGAAATAGAGGAGCAGGGTAGTAATTCAAAGTGTTAGAGTTAAAATCTCCAAAGTCCCCTTGCTGCTAACAATTCCCCACAATCATGTAAGTTTCCTTCTACTTAATTCTTCTGTGCCTGGGATGATTTGTCTTCATGAACTCAAGCAGCGTCATTAAGCCTGAGGTAAAGAGAGATCTTAACAATACATATTATAAAATTATCTTACAGACTGTGCCATCGGAAAATTAAATTCTGTCATTCAAGCACTTGGGCAGGACTGTAATACAAGCCTTGTGCACGCCTGCTGGAACGAGCTATTCACCTTAGGCCTGGCACAGTGTGCGCAGGTGATGAGTTTGTCTACCATCCTAGCAGCTATTGTCAACCACCTTCAGAACAGCATACAGGAAGAGCAACAATGATGATTAAGGGACTGGAGCATCTATCTTATGAGGAAAGACTAAGCGAACTAGGCCTGTTTAGCCTAGAGAAGAGAAGAAGACGGAAAGGACATCTGATCAATATAGAAGTGCCTGAGTGGAGAATGAAGAGAGGATGGGGCCAAACTCTTCTCAGTGGTGGCCAGCAACAGAACAAGGGGTAATGGGCGCAAATTGAAACACAGGCAGTTCCATTTCCATATGAGGAAGAACTTCTTTCCTGTGAGGGTGCCAGAGCCCTGGAACAGGCTGCCCAGAGAGGTTGTAGAGTCTCCTTCCCTGGAGATCTTCTAAACCTGCCTGGATGCCACCCTGTGCCACATGCTCTAGGCTTCCCTGCTGGAGCAGGATGGTTGGACTAGATGATCTCTAGAGGTCCCTTCCAACCTTAACCATTCTGTGATTCTGTGGTTCAAGCATGCTACCATAGTGATATAAAGGAATCTCCAAAATGAGATAATTTTGCCTAACAGACAAACATTGTGTCAAACAGACATTTTGAACAAGAACGTGGTATGTTTGTATTTACATTATTTGAGAAAATCTCTGAGTATATGAAAGGAACAGAGTACAGTTTAAAAGTTCATGTGTCCTTTAGTGTCAGCGTAGTTTGGAGATATAATCAACCCATGTTTTGCACAAGTTGTATATCTAGATTATATTTCATGTGTGCATGTTTTAATATAAGAAAATTGTAAAGAAACTCTTGAATTTAGTAATTTAGAGCAAGTGTTTGGCAAGAGTACTTTGGGATCTGAGCCTGGGTTTGCTGCAGGTAAAAGAGATTGAGGAATTTAGAAGCCAAGCATGGTATTTGTAAAACCAACCTTGCATTTCCATTTTCTTGTATGGGGCTAATGTGTGTCACACTTTATGCTAGTTAAAATAAAATTTGAATTGGTAAATATAGGAAGTGCATTGTGGCCGAATGCAGAGACCAATTTGTGAAGTAATGAAGTTTCCTATTCAGTATGTAAGTAAAGGAGACCCATGTCTCTGAAAAATGTTGCTTTCAATACATGTGGGATTTAGGGAAGGAGAAGAATGTTAAAAAGAAGATTCTTAAAGATTTTAAATTTTCCACTGAGTGACAATTGGGTAGACAGCTTTTGTGACACAAGCAGTAGCCCAAGATGGTCATCTCTGTGTTCAGAATGATTTGGAGCAGCATTTCAGTACATCATCTCCATCGTTACTGAAATCAGTAGGGAACTGTCCATCACAAAAATCTACACAAGCAAGAAAAAATGTAAAGAAAACAGGAGAAAAGCTTCAGTACAATATACAGAATTTATGGACACAGCATCCTCTCTGGGGCCCCATAAACCATTTTGGAAGTTTTCCAGAAAGGCATTATTTTTGCTTCAGTGTATCTTTTGTTTCATATAGTCTATGCCCAAGGCTATATTTGGAGTGGTAGTCAAACTGCGGCATATCTTGTGCATGTTACAAACGGCACAATATACTAGTCATCTTCAGGCTGTGAAAGCTGAAAAAGAATTCTGTATTATAACAATTCAAATCATGCACCTTTCTCCTTACTTTAATGAAACCCAAAGTTGTTATGGCACTAACAAATCTGAAAACTGGGAACTCCTAATTAGTGGGAAAGTCATGAAAATATTTGCAGAAGAGTAGAAAGATCATATTTTGCTGGAGAAGAAGCAGTTACTTTTTAACTTATGCGTAATATGAATTCTTGATGGCAGTACCATGCTTTTAAACCCAGCAAAATAAGTATGACTCCGAATCATGATAGTGAAGAGACTATTCATTCTCTATGCAAGTTCCCTTTCTTTTGCCTTCTGTCGTGAGACTGCCGGTAAGAGTTAATTGATGGCAACTCTGACAGTAACTCTTCTAGTGCAGAAAACATATTCCAGGGACTCTGCAAATACCATCTATTCATTATTTTGCATAGGCTGTCTAGCAGAAGACAGATGGTAATGTTCACTCAGTACTGACATAGATGAGATAGGAAACAGTGACCTGTGGTGAAGTGTTGTAGTTTATCACCTATGGACTCAAATAAAGAATGTTATGGAGAAGGATAAGGATTTTAGTGTTTTTTAGGAGTTCCTATCCTCCTCCCTTTGGAAAAGATCGTCACAAGCAATACAGATGAAAAGCAAGAACACAAAATAATCCCAAATTGTATGTAGCAAATAGAGTTATTCCATAGTGTTTTACAGCCACATACCAGTGAACTTGTCAGAATGCACTGCCAAAGAACTGCCCAGTTAACAAGACTTCAGAGTTTTGTTGAAGTTACAGATTAAGATGAATAATTGATTGAAAGCCTGTTTGCATCAAAAACTGGTTGTAGCCTTGCAATGTATTTGGCATCAGTTCTAATAAACATTGCGTTGACATGGGTATTTCCCATCTGATTCCGAATGACAGAAAGCACAAATTGTGAATGAAAACTGGATGATTTTTTGAGAGAATTAATGAGAAATGATTTATTAAGGCTTTTTTTCTTTCAGGTCTCATCAGAAAAGCACACCATATACAACATTAATAGGATGCTATTCTTACTGCTTCTTAAACACACAACCTGGTGATCCTGAGAATATAAAATGCCCTCAGTACAAGGTTTTCCTGGATGGTTTTGATGAAGTATTGACTTATTTATTCATGTCCTTGCCATGGAAGAAAGAAACAAATGTAAGGCATTGTTGCTTAGAGAGCTGAGAGAGCCATAGACCACCGAGGCCTTCCAAAAAGAAACATGAATAATGCTCAATAATACCAGTGACAGGAGAACTTACATATGATGGTTAATTGTGTGCCACATAGCTAAAGTACTAGTATATTAATAATACAGGATTTGCTTAACATTTCTAGCAGTGATTCCTAAACTCGGATGTATGTTTTATTGCTTTTGTGATAGAGATGAAAGTTTGTGTTCCTGGATTTAAAATTTGTTTTTAGGTTTCTACAATGCAAAGCACTGAAAAAGGTAGGATAGCTAACTCTTGGGTATACTTTTTGAAATCCCAGCTATCTATCATCAGAGAAATTCATATTGTAAATATGAAATTATTAAATATAATGTAATTATAAATGTAAATAAATAAATATAGCCACACCATAACACAAAAAATTGCAATCCAGGAATCAGATGTACTTATATTTTTTATCAGATCTTTGTGCAAGTTTAGAAAAGAGAATCAAAAGCCTTTTAACTGGATTTATTTTGTCCTGCATTCATAAAGCATTCAATATGATTCTTGATATTTGACAGAGTTTATTGGTCAGTACTTCAGAAATGTTTTGGATTGTATTTATCTTTTGGACAAAAATCCAGATTATCTGCTTTCAACAAGAATGTTTCATTTGTTTCAGATAAGCTAGAAACTCACTTTGTGTGAGGTATTCCAATGAAACTAAAAAAAAATGTTGCTCTGAATGAAAGTCACAGTAATTAAGGGGAAAAAAAAAGCATTAAAAAACGAAGAATGAAGCAAGTAGCACAGACAGCATGGTTTGCTGATTCGTTAGAGGGAGATCAGGCCACGCAGGTGTAACAACAGTGTGAAGGGAGATGTGTATTTACTCAGTTGTTGGCATGCAACATGGCCAGAGGTGCAAGCAGGGGCATGCAGCGTTA